CATAACACTCCTCCTATTGCAATGCTTGTGTTGTCAGAAAATAACCCTGGCAGAAGTCTAAGTAGAGCATCTTTGTCTCTGCTCAGATTTCTGTGGGCGGAAATCTGTGCTGCGTTTGTGGTGTAGGAATGGAAGAATACCTTTTTTTTGATGAGTTATCTGAACTGCAGCAGTCCCAGCTGACAGTTTTTCAAATTTGGCTGATTGACACCTTCTATTTCTGTTATTATATTTCATTGAGAAGCTTGTCTATATTTAACAAACAGAAACGGTTCAGATAATGGAAGCATTTATGAGTTACCTTCTTGAAGTACATATTTTTGTCTAAATTGCCTTGCTTTGTCTGTGCATACAGCAGTCTATTCAATGACTAGATGAAAAGCCATTCAAAGTTTAAGAAACTAGTCACAGATATGCGTTTACTGATTTTCTCCCGTAATGCTCTTTTGTTGAATTGTTGTTTTTCAAATCATATTCTATTATGTTACACTCTTTATCGGCACTCGTCTCTTTGGTCCGAGCCTCACCGATCTCATTGCGAGGGGGTAGGTTCTGGTCTTCCTGGCTGGGATACCTCTCCTTACGGTCCAGTAACAGGAAGTAGATCATCTTTTCTTGGTTGTCACTGCAAAGAGGAGACAATAAAAAGTCTAATGAGACATAATGGAAAAAAAATACAATGGCTTTGAACAAATCTGGGTCATTTCAAACACAAAGATTACTAAAGATTACTGAGGCATCCATATACATAAGTGCAAAAGCTAAAAAATATGACTGTGATTAACATCCTTTCATCTTTTTGGATTCTTTGTGAAACTGCCACTAAAAAGCTTCCGACATTAAAAGAAAAGTTTAGTTTTACAGCTCATTAAGCCGTGATATAATATTCTGCATATATTTTGAAGGATAAATCTCCATATGCAGAGCCTACTGGTAAGTTTATGAAAGTATCAAAACATTATGAGTTCATCCTTTACTTTCTCTGTAAATCAGGAAGCCTAATATCTTCAGCCTAAAGGGCAATACTCTCTATGCAAAAGGCACAGGGACTGGTCGTCTGTAATAAAGACAGATTGGAAAGCAGCAGGAGGCAAAGAGACAAGGACCTGCAACTTCAGCTAAAATGAACCAAGGGGAAGGGAAATATAAAGAACAGATTTTCCTCCAGTCCAGCACTATTATGGGATGCTCCCAGGAGAAAAAAAGGCAAACGGAAGAGATGGGGAGAGCAGAAAGTGATAGAGTAATGCTAATTTCGTATGAAATTAAAGAGGCCGGGAAAATGTAAAACGGAGAGAAAGGAGATAGAAGACCAAAGCAAATGAAACTACATCTGGATGCCCTTATTAATATAACAACAAGTGTATGAAACACTGCAGGGCAAAATTATTCAGTATAAATGCATATTTACATGAGCAAAAACACACGTGTGACATAAACATAAACAATAGGACCCAGGGGATTGTTCCTGGTGCAAGCCAGGATCAGTTTGGGGGGAATGTATTCAGTGGCAAGCTGTGTAAGTGCTGTGGGATAACAGTTAAGTGATATATAGCCACTAACATCTAAAGTGACAGCCACAAAGGAGTTCACAAGAGCTGGGGAAAAACCAAGGCCGGCTGTGCACACGGACACCACATCACCATCCTTCCATTGCTGTACCAACACACAGCCCCATCCTCTTCACCCCGTCTTCAGCTGCTTTCATTTCTTTTCCTTTTTCAACCCACTGTTGCACCTTCTTGACCCATGTCCCCTATTTTTCTCTCATCACTCACACCTTTTCATTCACCAAACCACACCTCCAATCTTCTTCATCCCACCTCTTTTCCGTCCCTCCCTTTTGCCCCTCCATTCACTCACTCGTCTGAGAGCAGATCTTTCAGAAGTTTGTTTTTGTCTCTGAAGCAGCCTAGGCAGTGCATACTGTCCAGTACGTCTGGGTCGATGTCGTCTGCAGAGGGCAGGCTGCGGATGGTCACCTTCCTGGGCACAGGCTGCTCTGGCTCTGGTTCGTTCTTCCCCCCTCTGGGAATGCAAAGGAATCACAACACAATTAGTCTTTTTTGTCCCTCCTACTGTGAGTTTGGCTACATTGACAAACACCATTTTACACAGCTTACATTAGAGGCAATATGCATCTCACTTTGCAGATTTACAGATTTAATAAGTATGTGCGGTAAACAGAATATGTAGTGTGTGAAGTGTTTCCGTGATTGTTTGCCTCTTGGTTGGAAGTTTGCCTCATTACGACCAAGGTTTTACATTATGAAACTGTCGTATTTTCCCCAGGTGTAGTCATTATGCATGAAAGCTTCAGAGGGGGAACAGGGGTCGTCATGCTCGCCAAGACGTCGAGTTGCTGGAACGTTTTGCAATCTCTCCGTCTCCTCCTGGCTTGTTTTCCAAACTTATTTTCATCATTATCCCCTCCTTCTTTCCAGACACTCTCCTAGTTATGTCACTTTTCTTTGTCTCTCTTTTGTCTGTCTGTATCTAGGGAGTGCACTAGCAGGACTTTATTCTTTGGGATTTAAAATGAAAGTCTAATCCTCACTGACACAACGTTTCTGAGGGTTTCTGGAACATTCCACATGTCAGTTTCAAAGAACAGATTCATCTTCAATATCTAGAAATACACTAATACACACAGACACAGTAATGAAAAAATAAAACGTGTACACGTCTGACATGAGCCTAACGTGTCACCCACTTTAAACTTATTATGTATTAGATTGTAGTAGCTCTAGCTCGGTGTACCAAATCATCTGGGAACTGAGTGCATGTTTGTCTGCTGGCCATCACTAGTTTTCCTGGTGAAGACAGTTTGGCGTGGCGCTATCCTTTCAGCACCACTGCTCTGCTCAGCTGCAGATTGTTAGGATGCTCACCAACTAATAAAACTAATAAACAAATAGCCTTATTTGAATTTGTAGAAAAAAAAAAAAAAAAAAAAAAAAAAAAAAAGAACTTGAGCTTGTGTGATTTCACCATGCTTCATTTTTACCCACCACTGTCAAGCTGCCTCTAGGAAAAAGTCAATGCCACATTTGAAAGACAAAACCTTCCTATCTCATTCATTCATGCAGAGGTGGACAGCCCAGCAACTTCCTCACTGGCAAAAAATCCCATTACATTAGTCTTCTTTCCCAGCTCTTCTCTTGTCTTCTCTTGTTTCTTTTATCAGTCTGTTCGCATGATCTTTCAGTACACGACAGAAACCATAACTCAACCCATTGTCAGGGCTTACAACTTCCTATCGTGATTTATCTTTGCTCTTGCCGAGTAAAGACTCTTTGAAATCCTTTAAGAAACCTTTCTTAGAACTTTTTTAGCTACCGCTTCTAAATGGTGATAATCTGATTATTAGAGGGAGGATATTCACAATGAGTGTAACTGTATGTTATATTTAAAAAAACACAAACAAACATTTATTAATGCTTTCGTTCCCCATTAATAAACCTTGTGACTGAACATAGTTTGCGATGACAGGTACCATACATGATTCAAAAGATTTATGTTAGCTTAAAAAGATGGGGGCACTCTGTTATGGAAATTAAACGAAGGGTACACTGAGGTTATGTGGGTTTCTCATCCACCACATCCTCGCTTGTTTGCTCTCCCCTACTCCCTGTTCAGTTGACCATATGCTGCACATCCTTTTTCATGCACTACCAATTTACCCCCACATCCCAGAGAGTGGAGTCATGCCCTGCTCAAATATGCTCTCATGTACAGGGCTGCAACTCAAAGCCATTTATCATGTTGTCGCTCCCCTAAGGTCTACGACCCCTGCAGAATAAACTAAGAGAGGAGAGGAGGGTTTTAAAAAGAAGGAAAGACAGCGTACTTACATGTACCATGTGTGCTTCTGGATCTGTTCTAACTGTGAAAGACATGACAGAAGAAACAGCAGGTCAGTACACAAACAGCGTAATGTGTTTGATTTAATTCATTTCATCATCTTTTTGGTATACAAATAATAATTCAAATGCAACAGAATCATTGAGGAAAAAGGTAAATACACAGTACATTTCAATGTTTTGCCCGTGTATAGAAATGTTTGGTACAGAATGGCTTCATTGAACCCTGAGCTTACTGGCTTAATGGAAACGCGTTAGAGCAATACGGCCATATTGGATGGTGGAAGTAAATAACGAGGCCTTCAAATATTAATACTGCCAATGGGAAAAAAAAAAAAAAAAAAAAAACTTATTGAGAAAAAGAGAGCGGTGCATCAAGAGTATGACAGAGAGGTGGAACCACTGAGTTATAAACATAGAATACTATCTTCCTCACACAGACTGCTGACCCCACCAAGCCCTCTGGTCTAAAGGGAATCTCCCATTCTCATTCTCTTCCCCACACAAACACACTCACTCTCTCAATACTACTCTTGTCATCACACTTTTAATGTGGCCACTTTGTCACCAACACTGTCAACATAGGTTTTTGGCCAACAAAGAAAAAGCAGAAAGAGACAGAAACAGTGAGCAAAAGGGCAACAAAGGAAGATGTCTGTTAGAATGACACCACAGTGTTTCAACTGCCCACAGAGGTAAACAGGATCAATGTCACTGTCGGGACTTTTTAATTTGCTCATGCTGTTGTTGTGGAACCACAGGAGATACAGATAGCAGCTCTAATTATTGTCACTTACTCAGAAACATAGTTGTTGGGCATGTCTCAATGTTTCCACCATCCCAGAGGATTTACCTCTGTGCTCCATCACTGATGAACGCCTTCTTGTGATATTAGTGCAATCACAGAGCAGGCCAGGCTGTGGTTACTGACTATAGGTACATCTTCTGTGCTTCCACAGAGGTCATGGTATTGATGGAGACACCCTGCCTGTCAGATACAGGGCAGTGGGTGACCTACTCCTACCCCCACTTTTATTAAAGGCCTGGAGGCAAGAGACTGATATCACACGCAGGGTTGAAAGTGATGTGGTTTGAAATTCGGAATCACGTCAATCAGTCTCTGAATGTGACAGTACCAATTCCAGCTGCTTTCACTCAAGCGGAGGGGAATGCTGCTGTAACAGCGGTTTGCCTCGGTATGAGTATGAGTTCAGGTATGTTTATATCTGTGGGCTGTATAAATAATTTGTAATGCAACTTGTGTATGCAGGTCTGCTAAGTATGCGTGTCTCAATATGGCTGTTTATTAGGGCAGGGAGGGACATGCTGTAAGGGTGGGCAATGGGAACCTGTTCCGCTCTTTGAAGCAAAAACAAAGTTACCTGAATATTGCTGTTTTCCATCTGTCGTACCATATAAGCAATTGTATTCCTTAACCAAACTGGTGACTTCACTTCAGCTAGTTAAAGATGCAATGTAAAATATCTGCCACATGGTCCAAACAAATAGGGGGCAGCATTTCACCTCTACTACTGGGTCCATACAAAATAAAGTATAGTCATTAGTTATATATATATAAAAAATCCAACTACTAACTAACAGCACGGCAAGAATACACAAAATTCATCCAAACTACTGGAACTCTGAGAGCCAAAATAACAATGCTATATTATCAACTTTACGTGTGGTGTTGGCCTATATAATGTTTACTGTGCCGATACGTTTTCATAGTTTATTTATTGGATTAAATCCAAAGTGTCAGGAACGAGTAAAAGTCTCGTATTTTAGTTTCACCTTCCCCTCCACCAGAAGACTACGTTGCAGGGACGAGAGGGGGTTGCAGCTCAGGGGAGACAAAGCTTCAGTGAGGGGAGATGTGGTAACACATATTCAGCCAGAGCAAACCCCAGTGCCAGGGCTCTGATCCAGTGGGGACTGCCTTGACTGCCGGATCAGGAAACTTCCTGTTGCAGCCAGGTCATTTTCTCGTTTCTAACAAACACTTTGGATTTAATCCAATAAACAAACCTTCAAAACATACACGCACGTCACATCAACGTCATAGCCCTCTGAGGCAGCTCTACTTCTTCATCCTCTCATGTTGGACTGAGAGCGGACAAGAGTGACTCACGATCGCCTCTCGAGAAGCAACAAGTAGTGTAACAAGAGATGACGGGCCGGGGCTAGCTGATTAGCATGCACAGTTCAACAGATATCTCAGCAACACAATACATAGAGGTCTTTGACATTTTGACATCTTCACATTTTGTTGATAATGTACAGTAAGTAAACTTTTTTAAATATCTTAAAAAAGCTAATAATTTACCCCCTTCTTTCTTATTCTGTAACTCAACCTCCTAAAAGGAAGCAGCCTAGCTTAGCAGAGTAGCAGCAACAGCTGTCTCTGCAGCCTCCGACGGGTGGAATTCACGTGATAAACTACAGTGTCATTTCTCAGTGACACACAAAAACACACACACTTCCTTTATTTTCATTCCGACAACCTCTGCACTTCATCTGTGCCGCCCCTATGAATATATTATATGCCTGTGATGAAGTGCTCTTTAATATAATAAGCTACCAATCTTCTTCATTGGCCAGGGATCACCAGGACGCAGATCTTTCCAGGGTGACGGTGCTCATTTCAATACCGAAGATGAGACTGTGTTGAGGCGGCTGGCCCTGTCGCCTATGGGGCCCCCAGACTACACAGACAGGAAATGTAGAAAGGCTTTTATTTGGCTAAGCTCCTTAAGCCTGGATACGTGCCCTCCCACTCAAGACTCTAAGGGGCCTGAGCTTTGTGTGTGTACTAGTGTGAATCTACTAGCAAAATGTAATTAACCGGAGGTGACAACAGACATACTGAAACAGAGCTAGTAGTTGTGGTCTGATTACCTTATCGATTAGATTCAACAAGCTACAGTCGACATCATTATGAAAAATAATCCCTTGCAAAAGAATGACATGGTCCTAATGATGCCACCCCCCCCCCCCCCCCCCCCCCTGGGTGCATCTGCCTTGGCTGGATGGTCACCACTAAACTCCAAGAACGCTCAATCTAACGTGGCTATTTGACATTCTGTGAGGTTACAACACATCCCCAGAGCTCTGTTCGGTGCCCCCGTGCACAGGAGGGGGGCCGGGGAGGGAGCATATTTTCTCCCAGAAGCTCAGTCTGTGTGTAAGCCTTTGTCGAGGACAGCGCTGGAGGCTGCTGGACATATCTGGTGGATCTCAGGGTGACCTGTCCTCGTCAGGGAGAGAGAACAGAAAAATACAGCATATAGTGTACATACAGCATACCAAAGAGGTGGGGTCTTTCAAGTCAATGTTTCGACATTGCCGTTCATCTCAAGGGCTGTACCTTAAAGATGTAACCTCTCCCACAAATGAGCGTCTCTTTCTTTGTAGATTTCTGATCTTTGTTTTTTTCTGGTGTTTTTAAAATTCCTGTTATGTAAAGCCATTCTGACACTGTGAAAGATAGCTAAGGCATGGAGAAATCGAGCATCAGCATCCACTCAAGGTTGGTGTCACCACATTTGCTTTCTGGCAAGTGCATGAAAATTGTTTTGTTTGCACTGATTCAAAAAAACACCTGGAGAGCCCGGAGGGGGGGTGCATGTGTGTCAAAATGTGGGGTTTGTATTTTGTGCATGTGTGCAGAAACAATAACTTCAGAGCGTGTCTGTATCTCTGCGCATCGTCTGAATGTGAAATGCAGGACATGAACAAAGGGCAGCAGCATCTCTACGTGAAGTCTGTACTTTTTGAGATCTCTGGCCACTTTCATTATTTACATTTCCCTTTGTCCACCTCTCTCTCCACCACACCCTGACTCTCTGCCCTTCACATTCCACTGTTTTTGCCTTATCCTCCAGCCACCTCGCCAAGGTGATCAGTTGCTGTGTGGAGATGGACCGGCACTGTGATGAGTACACTAAACAGTGCAGAGGGGGAGTACACAAACAGCAGTCCTCTCCTGAATTCACACACTACACTTGAAAAAGAACAAACAGCATCAGAGATGAGGCGAGACAAACGCTTTTGGAACATAGGGGAGCAAAGAGTAAAGCAAGAAAAAGACAATGGCTGGCTTGGCCTAGACTGCTGTACCAAAGCTGAAAACTATTGTCTAAAATAGCATTGTATGTTGTAGTATGAAGGTTTCCCTCAATTGAAACTAAGAAGCCAAGCTCAAAGTACGAAAAACAGCCAAAGACCAAAAGCACACAAAAATATGTGAACATAATCATCATGGTGTGTTATCATCCAGTCTCTTAATTAAACTGACCGTTAGTCTTTTGGTGGCATCCACTTCAACCATGCCACGGAGGAGGTTCTGACAGTCTGGAGGGATGAAATGTGGCATGTGAAACACTCCCAGCTTCACCTTCTCTAGCAGATTCCTCAGGTTGTCGTCATCAAACGGCAGGGCACCCTGGAGAGATGTAGGAAGAGAGCAGCGAGTGAAAACAGGGGAAATAAATTGGATGTGGTGAACAAAAGTAGAGAAGAAACAGTTTGCACTTGTTTTAATGGCAGCATCAGAAAATAAGCCGTCACCCGATCGAGGGCAGAAAACAAAGAATGACTAACAAGGCTCGCTAGAGGAAACAAAACCATATTTTAAGTCTAAATCCTGCACAACTTCAAGAACAGCCGTGCTTTCTCAACTTGTTCGACTCTCCAATTAGAGCATTCCGCCCTCAGCCACGATGAAAAATAAATAATAAACAGCGGTAAGCTGAAAACTGGGCTTTTTCTAATAATTACCCAGCATTCTCATTTACCCCGTTCATTTAGCATTCGCTCATCAGAGTCATTTATTAGAGCGAGCCGACACCTCACAGATGTGGCTGTTTGATGAATGACAACCACCAGAAGACAAGATGGAGGGGGAGAGTCAGAGGAAAAGGGTGAGAAAGAAGAAATGAAGAGAGGTATAGAGAAATAAGGGACGGCGATCCGAATCCGATA